CCCGGGTGTTCTCCGGGGGCAATACTTCCGAGGATCAGGACCGTGGTCCTCCTAGTGACTTAATTTTTGTTGGTTTTTCTTTCTGCTGAGTGTTTCTGGCGAGTCTCTGCCGCTCGGTGCCGGGCAGTTGCACGGGCTGTGGCTTTGCTCTCCGCGGGGAAGCGCTGGAAGGGATTTTTCTCTCCCCCTGTAGCTCAACAAGTGCCTCGGCTCTGACAGAGCTTTCGTTAAACTGGGAACTCATCTCTTCGGTTGACAGAAAAAGATTTACCCAGCGGAAAAAGGGCTGGGCCAAAACACTACAGGGAGAAAATGATGCAAAATCTACCTCGGCCCGATTTGTGGAGGCGCTGAGAGCGAGCGTCCCCCCGGGAGGCAGGTGGGGACAGCAAGTGCTGGGCTCCCGCAACCGGGCTTTGCGCTGGAAATAGTAGTGGCCCGATTTAAGCAGGTGAATTTGTCTCAAACTTAATTCCCTTGCAGGCAGCCGCTGAGAAAACTGTGTTTATTTTAGATATGAGCCTAAGACGGGCCGTTGATATAATTACTATAATTCTTGGGAGCGTGACCCCGTTCCTGAGAGCGCTGTGCGCGCGGGGGCCGCCGCGCTCCTCAAACAGTTTAATGGCTTTATCAAGCCACGGCGTAAGGAAGGAGGATTTTAGGAAACTCTGCGCCTCCTGTCCCTGCCGAGGCTGTTCACGCAGCCCTGTGAAGCGTGGTGTGTTTATGGCCAGGCTTCACAGCCCGGCATTCCACGCTGCCGTGGGATCCTGCCGTCAGCTCTTGTTTATCCCAGATGTGGCCGCGCTTCCCCTCCTCCCCGGGTCGTGGGTGCTGCCCCGTGTCCCCTCCCGTGGGCAGCATTCGGGGGTGAAAAGTTGATGCTTAAGTGGGAGCCAGGATGCTGGGAGAATTAGACCGTGCACGCTCAATAGTCATCCTTATTAATTATTGCACTGTAATGACAATGCGCTTTTTTTTTTTTTTTTATCGTAATACGTGATCCGCGTCGGGCTTTGAGCCGTTGTTTTTCCCTCGGGACCTAACAGAAAGTTCGGGTTTGTAATTTATCCTAAAAAAGCACAAACCCTCTCCAAAGAGGAATCGATAAGAGCGGTGATGATGATGATGTGGGTAGGGCCTCGGATTTAATAAAGCTGCTGTGTTTGTGTTGGAGACTTCTCTGGCTTTTATACGGCTCGGAGGCTTCATTCCTGTGCGGCTGCCGACGTGTTCTTCAACCCAAGTTTTAGACTAATCTGGGTGTTGAAATTAGCACGGTTGTATTTAGAGCAAAGGGAAGCAGGTGGCTGTAGCTCTGGAAAATAGGGTAAAGTTTTTATTTAAAAGCATGTGAGAACCATCACTTTTTTTTTTTTATAAACTTTCACTGCAACTCTTGCTTAACTGCCGCTTTTCTTGCGCTCCCAACTCTTGAGCAACAGAGTGTTTTTTGAGAACGCCTTTTCCCTGCTGGAAAACCTCCGCTTGCGGGGACGGCGTGCTGTCAGGAAGCAGCCCGGATCGTGCCAAAAATCTGCAGGAGGCTTCCGAGGGTCGGGTTTCTCGGGACGGTAAATCTCCTCGAGGAAACGCTCGTCCCAAGCGCGAGATGCTGCAGCCCTGTGACCTCAGGGCTCCGCCCGGCCTGACCGCCGGCTGCCTGTCGCGTCTCTTCGCAAATATCCCTCTTTTTGCATCCCCAGCGCCCGTTCTTTGGGCTGAAGGAGTTGGTGAGCTCACGGGTTTTTTTGCACCTTGCCTTTTCACCAGGAATAACGTATTTTGCTGGGCTCCGATCACGGAGCTTCGACGCTGATCCGCCAGGTTGACTTTTGCCGGCAATGAAGCAGGAGCTGCCTGGTCCGTATCCTGTCTCGTACAGCACCTAGTCGGAGCTTAGCGACTCTAATAAAGGTATTAGGTCAGGTCAGGTTCAGCACGGCATCGCTAATCCCAGCTCTGTGTTTTGGCTCTTCCCGTGTGCGTTGGGTAACCTGCCCGTGTCGGGTCAGGGCTGCAGGCTGGGACGGAGGCAGCGCCCCGTCGTCGTGGGAAGGAGGAGGAAGCCAGGAACCTCCCTCGAGGACCTTCAGGTCTTGCTCGTTTGGAGCCGAGCCGCGTGAGGAGCTGATGTGGCTGGTGGCTGTTCTGACGAGGCTCCCTAAGGGAAGAGCAGGGCTCGCTCAGCTCAGCCGTGCGGCTGCTTCTGGCACCGAAGCCTCGCCCGTCTCCCCTCCGAGCTGCACGTGAACCTTCCATTGGGGTGGGGGGGTCCTGGGGGGGGCCAAGCCAGGCGCCATTCCCTCCGCGCTGGGGGTAAGAGCTGCTGATTGCAGGGAGTTGGGTGGGTTTTTGGTTTAGGAGTTGATCCGTTAAGACTTGCTGCCTCGCCCGTGGGAGCTTCCTTCTGGTGGAGCTTCGCAGAGCAAAGTGGGTGAGTGCCGGTGGGGAGCAAAAACCTTCTGGCTGGGTCTAGAAAAATGAGATTTCTCGTGGGTTTTGGTGCTTTGGTTCCCTGCTGAAGGCACCGGAGGGTCCGTCTCGGAGCGGCTCTTGTCCTTTTTCCCGCCTGGGACGTGGTGGAGGTGCCGGGCCAAGGTCGTGCGCTGACTTTGTGCTCCTGGGACCGGAGTCCTGGCGTCCTGGCTCGGGTTCTGGCCCTTGTCAAAAAAATCACGTGAAGACCCGTCATAGTTCTACCCTCCTAAAATATTTCTGGAAATACCTTTGTAAACATAGCAAAAGGCCACCTACGATACAGGAGTTCCAGATCATGTTTAATGCTTAGTTTTGACATTAGCCCTTAAAAAAAACAAATATTTTTTTCTTTTTCTGAAGGACACGTTCTCCACACGATTGAAATCTTAACAAAATAAGAAAATTAAAGCCTCTTAAAATGATGATCCTGGAACTAATAGTCCATCTTTCTTTCTTTGGATGGTATTTTTTTCCGGTGGAATGCTTATTTATTTTTTTTTTTTTTTTTTTTTTTTTTCTCCCCATTATGCCCCGTAAGACACGAGTGATGAAGCTGAGGTACATTTAATTATTTTACCTTGCTTCCTTTTTATTTCTTCCCTTGGTCTCTTTTAATTTACCCGATCGAGTTAGGGCAGGGAGCACAATCCTGCAGCTCTGCGAACCGCCACGGAGGACCAGGATGCTCTGTGCTTCTGCCGTCGTCCTACCAAAACCTGACAAATTAATTTTGGGTGGCCTGTCGTCCTGCGGCGAGGCTGTGGGAAGCGAGGAAGCTGCGAGTCGCTTTGCTACTGGGTATTTTTTTTCTGACTTGACTCTTGTTTTAGGCGGGCGTTTGGTAGTAAGTGTTTTAACTTCTGTTTGCGGGGGCTTGCAGGCTCGCATGGAGATTAACTAACCCCAGCTTTCCCTTCGCTGCCCCTTTCTGAAAGGCAGAGGCAAAACTGGGCAGGTTCTTGTCTCGCTACCTGGAAGGGTGAAGGTCTGGGTTGGCCATGGGATGCCCGGCTTTCACTCTCTCTTTTTATGGGTGTGGTGACCAAGCAAGAAATACTGTTTGTGTAAGGATCAAGCTTATTATAGTTCAGAGCTAGGTGTGACTCACGGCTCGGCGTAATCTCCCCACTGCATTGCTCACTGGAAACATCGCTGTGCTCGGGCCCCGGTGTGAGCTGGGGGGAACGGGGGGATGATTATTATATTGCTAAAAATCCTGGGCGGAAGCAGCAGAGAAGCTGACAGGTAACGTAATAAAGTCATCCGTGGGTGAGGAGCTGACAAAACCTGGAGTGTCGGGGCGTGAGATTTTGCTGCTGTTGTTTTCTTGTTTCTCAGGGGTTGCCTGTCACCCCTGTGCTGGGACCTTGCCGTGCCCAAATCTGAAGAAAACAAATTTATTTATTTTTTTTTTAGCAACGAGGCAGGGAAACACACCCACCCATCCCAAACTCTGCTTCAAATCAGAAGGTGCGCGGGGTGTATTTAAATGCACTTGGAAATGAAAGTCCTCTTCAGTAGCTGGTGTCTTTTTATGATCTTGACTTAAAAGCTGGAGTTTAAAAACCCAGAGAGGTTTGACGCAAAAGGAAACGTTTTCCTTGGGCTGAAACCGTCAAGTTTCCGAATACAGTTTTGGTTGCTGCGTCCCACTGCCGTGAGCGAGCAGGAAGCGGATGCCCCGGGGCTGAAGGAGGACACCTGCTTCTGACTTTCCTTTGAGTCTAACATCAAGACACGCTTAAGTCGCCTCCAAAAGCTGGTCCTGCACCGATGGTCTGGGCTTGACTTCTTGTTCTCGATGCGTGCTGGGGCTTGGGGGTTTGTCGGTGCAGCACCAGCGCATCTCTTGTTTTTTTTTTTTTTTTTTTGAGACTGGCTACAAAAATAAATAAATACTGAGTTTCGTTTCTTTTTCTATTCAACCCCCTTTCTGCCTTTTGTGCCAGAACTGAAGATTTCACGCTACATTGCTGATTTTGATAAGATTGGCTTTCAGGAACCTGGGCAGTCTCGTTGGAAAAGCAAGCAGAATGATGAAGGCTCCTAAATATTAGTAATCCAGACGGCTCTTATCAGGGGACTTGAGTGTGTGGTTGTAAATTTGCATTTTTTTGTGCTTTCCTCTTGTGTTTGCTCACAACTGATAAAGCAGCTGGTGCCAAGCAGAAACGTGGGAAGAGGTTTTTTTGGAAGCAGAGCTCGGTACGTCGCCGTAAGGTGACCGGGAGGGTTAGTCTGGTGTTGAGTCTGGTATGAAACCACGTATTGTTTGTAAAAAAGTTTGCTCCCAGGGGAGTCGTCTCCTTCGTTAGCTGATGCTGATGGCTCGATCCTCCACAGCTCGCAGAGGACCGCGCTCCGCAAGTATGACGGCGTGTTCAGGCACGACAGCAAAACGGGGTGAAGAATTTTCAGCAGCAATGAACTCAGTCATCCTTTCTGGACAGGACAATTAAAAAAAAAAAAAAAACAACAAAAAACAACTCGGAACCAAACACAAAAAGCCCCAGTGAATCAGCCTGAAACCATTTGCTGGCAGAGCTGTGAAACACCTCCGGGTCCGGCGGGCACCGTGCTGCTCCTTCCCGAAATCCCCACCCGTGGCAGGCGAGGGGCTGGGAGCTCGTGAGCCATTTCTCTTCTTGCTTTTGTTGATTTAAGCAACACCCTGCAGCTTTTACATTTTTTTTTTTTTTTTATTTTTACATTTCTAAAACAACCCTTTTAGCTTTGAATTGAGCCCGCGTTATTTAAGCCCAGCGCAGTCAGAAACTCTACCTCGAGTTCATGCGAATGTTTAAAAATCGAGGTGGGGGAAGAGCAGTTAAAACTGAAATTAATGCACTTCCGAACGTGGCCTTTGGAGATGAGATGGACTAATTCCGTTGGATTTAAGTTCGGGTTTATTTAGGAGCAGGAGGAGCGGGACGCCCTTGCTGCTCGCCTTGTGTGAGCTGGGCTGGAGGTTCAGCCTGGGACCGCCTGCGCGGGTGAAGGCTTTGCCCCGCTGCCAGGGTGGTCGTTCATGACCCCTCCCCTGGGGCAGCGGGGGTCAGAGGGGAATTAAATCCCGTTAATTAGCCGCCTGAGTCGCTCTCCCGGGAGGTGAGTGGGGGCTGCTCGTGCTGAGGCTGATGGGCGCTGGGGCAGCGACACCCACCACCCCGTTTTGGGGCAGGAGGAGCTGCCGTCGCCTCGGCCACCCCAGCACCTTTACCCAGCGGGTTCTCACCTCCTAAACTCCTGCCTTACCCTGGAGAAATAACTGCAGGGAGCGGTAAATCCACGCCTTTCCTGAGCAGGTCGTAAATCGCTTTTATAAGCTTTGATAGCAGAAGTGGGGGAGGATCTTTGTGGAGGGGGTTCAGGCCTGTAGCTGGTGGCGTAAGAATCTGGTCCTGCGCGTAACGAGGTTGTTATTTATTAGGTTTGAGTCTTGTGCTCTTTTGCGAGTGAACGTATAAAATAGTGGCCTGGCTCTTGGCCTCTGGGTGAAGGCAACTGCTGGGATTTTTTTTTTGGGGCCCAAGATTATTTATGAAACAGCCAGCGTTGCCCTGGCTGGGACGTGGAAACTCTTCCCAGGCTCGTGTTTTTGCTGCCGAGCGCTCGTCTGTCTCCTGCCTCTGAAACAAGGCTGCAAATCCTTCCAGTGTCTCATAAGGGCGAGGCTTAATTAAGCTTTTTATAGCATTTTACAAGCATTAGCTAACTAACTATTGTGACATCCCTATGGGGTAGGTGGTTGGTTGGTTGTTTTTTGTTTTTTTTTTGCTTATCCTAATAGAGCTGTTTCTATCCGCGCCGGCACTCGAAGAATTGTGTTGGGAGATGCTTGTGAAATGAGGTTGCCGATGGTGCCCCGTGGTTGAGGGCAGCCCCTGCCCGACGTGATGCCAAGCTGCTCTAAAAATAGTTGGATTTGCGGAGGTTTGAGAGTGCCAACGTTATCCCGTGCCCGCGTGACACGTCCGATGGAGCTGTAAGACCGTGGCGTAACGGAGCTCCTGGAGATAGGAGCATCCTCAAAACTGAGCAGCTTTTAGGATAGCTGAAGATGCCGCTCGGTGGCCTGCGGATAGCGAGGGCTGGAGCTCATATTTAAAATGTTTTTGAAAGAAAAGGAGAAGGAGGAGTAAGGGGAAGGCGGGTTCCGCGTGAGCTGCGCTGAGCTTCTACCTGATTTCTTCTATTTACGGCACTCGGCGAGAGAGCGGGGGCAGGTGAAAGGGGCACGGGCGCTGGTGCTTGGGACGAGGGAGGAGAAATGTCAACTTTCTGAAACGCCCCGTTTTATCCGGACAGCGACAGGGCAAATTCTGGGGCAAAGCAGAATGCCGAGAGCTGGAAGGTGCCAGCGTTTGCCTCGGATGTGGGGGGGTGTCATCAGGAGGCCCCAGCACGACTCCGGTCCCTCGCATTTCTCCCGCATAGTTCAGCGCTTGCGTCACGGCAGGAGAGGCGTCGGGCTCGGAGGATTCCTGACGGTCTAGGACATTGTGGTTTCTAAACGGAGGAGTCACACGCGGTTCTAAGGCAGCGTGGCCACCGCCGACAGCTCCAGGGCTTGGTCAGTGGAAGTCTCCGTCTGAGCCGCCGGTGCTGTTGCTGACACCAGGGGAAGGTTTGTTTTCTCTTGAGCGTTTTCCTCTTTGGCCTTTTCTCCCTTCACTTGTGCTGTTTGCGTTTCAAATTTAGCTTCCTTGCGCTGCTTTTTGCTTTGGTTTTGAGTTTGTTTCCCCCGGGGGGTTTTGCCGGTTTTTCACCAAACCACGCTGAAACATCTGGGAAGCTGCGTGCTCCAGCAGAATCCATCAGCGGAAGGACTAACTTACGGTTTCAAAAAAGGTTGACCCAAAAGTAGTTGGGATGAAAGTCTTCTGTGAATTTTTAATGCTCTACGATTTCTACCGGAGGGCAGCTTCTCGTAGGAGGCTGCGAGGAGGCGGATGATCCTCATCTGTGGCGTTTTGTCAAAGCGTTCAACCTCCCACCAGCTCGGGTGAGATGAGCGGATGCGAACCACGGGAGAGGATCTGAGGAGATGACGAAGTTGTGGAGCAGCTCTGAAGGGGAGCGAGCTGGGAGGAAGGAACTGAGCTACTCAGCCCAGAAAATGAGGATTATAACTAAGGACCCGAAGCCCCGTTTCTGAAGCGACCCAACCAGCGCATCAATCAAATGGTTATTCCCTTGAAAGTGGTTTTTTGGTTTGTTGGTTTTTTTTTTTTTTAATCTGGAGATGGAGCTGGGTATATATTTTGCAAATGTGCTGGGTGCTGTGTAAACACCCACTTCTGCGCTGCCACGCGACGCCGGCTGTGCCAAACCGTTCTACTGACGGGGCGCAACAACAACGTGCGATTGTCCGGCCGCGCAGTTGGTCAAAGAGAAATCTTCTCCCGGATTTTGCTGGGGAAGGAGGCGCTCGGCTTCCCCAGCCATCTCTTCTGATCCTCTATGCAAATTTTGGGGGAAAAGTCATTTGCGTGAGGCCAAACCGAGATGTAAACGCTCCAGATTTACCGGGCGGAGCCGCCTTTGCATCCTCAGCTCCCGCGGCGCGACGTCACTGTTGCGCTTTGCAACTAAAGGTGTTTTGATATTTTTGGGGGGGGGAACTGGGTCTGTTGGTCTTTTTTTTATTTCTTTTTTTTTTCCCCTCCAAGTTCTGAAAATCTTGACAGCTCCCTGGTGAATTAGTCACTGCTATTTCTTAGATAAAATATTGTATATCCGCTTCCAAGGTACCGCGGGTTCATCACCTTCAGGGTTAGCGTTTCCCCCGCGGGGGCTCCGCGAGCGGCGGCCGTGATTTGGGCTGCGCTGTGATTATTTAGTGCCAAAAGCAGCCAGAAAAATCTTACCGCTCGCCAGAAGAATGATGGGAAGAAGATGATAGGACCTTATCACAATGGGACGGTCGCTGCCAAGCGTTCCTGCCCGCTGTTCCGAAGCTCCGGAGAACGTGTTTTAATTCGGAGCCGGTAACGAAGCGTTGCCGATTCCGGTTGATTCGAGCTAACCGTCGCCTCTCTGTAAGTTCAAAGCTTGTTAAGCTCCGTGCTGTCATTTTCCCCCTCTTAAATCAAGCTTTTAATTATCCGCAGAGCTTGGAGATACGTATTCTCGACTCTTTTTCTTTTTTTGTACCTGAAAATACAATTAAGGAAAACACGCCGCTTTTCCAAAACCTGAAATTAGTGGCTACAGCTCTGCAGCCCGGTGGGGGAATTAAATGAGAAAAAGCTTGGAGGGATGTTCAGGGTTTGGAAATATCTCGGAGGAGCTTGGGGAGCGTCCGCTAGGCGGAAAATGAAAGGAATTTAGGGAGAGTGGCATCTTCCGAAGCACGTTTTGTTGGTGTTTCTGGGTGCTTCCCTCCCGGAGCCAGGCAGCGCACGGGGAATCCTTCTAATTAAAGTCTTTGCAAATTAAGGCAATTTGGTTTTGGCTCTTCACGAGTAGAAAGAGGGAGATTTGGACGCCGTCCTTCCTGCGGGAGGCAAAGCTTTGGATGTTCGATGGGGCTTTTTTTTTTTTTTTTTTTTTTTTTTTTTTTTTTTTTTTTTCTCCCCCGGAATAGCTTAAAATGTAAATATTTAGGAAGCAGCTTTTCTTGTCAAGTCCTGATTCTGAAGTATTTCTCAGCTTAAAGAAATGGGTTGTACTGTAATGGGGGGGTGGAAAAAAAAAAGTAACGTGGGATACGGCGGCTTTCTTCGGTATTTCAGATCTGTAACAAAACTGTGTCGTAAAAAAAAAAAAAAAAATCTGATTAAGGATGCAAATTCATCCCAAAAATCTGTAAAATGCAGAAGGTGGGGGGAATTTTGCATCAGAGGCTTTGCGTCCGCGTCGGGCGCACTGGAGACGTTCCTCCGGGATTTTCAAGCAACTCGTTTTCTTTGTCCTGTTGGCCTTTTTTTTTATCTTGTTCTGATTAAATACTGGAGGAAAACGGGCACCCTGGGTTTGGTTTTTTGTTGTTGGTTTTTTTTTTTTTGGGGGGGGGGGG